ATCACATTCACAAGCATATCATTCAAGTCATTTATTTGAATTTACCCAAAATTTAAATGAAATTCTGAATCGAGGTAATTATAATGTTTATGTAATTTGATTTAAATATTCAATAAATCTATTTGCTGAGCTGATTATTTTTTAATTAAAAATATATCATCATTTATTTATTTTTTTAAAATATGTTATAGTGTATTTTATGACAAACTAATTATATTTATTTATTTAGTATATTTGTTTATTGAACACTGAATATAGAATAACTATTTTAGTCAGTCAGTTTGTAATCACATTAACAAATTAAAAAATAAAAATAAATATATAACAAATTTACAGAAACTCTAAAAATATTAAATAATATCGATAATAAATTAAGTTTTTCGTTACTACATTAAACTGATATTTATGTGATTTATACTAAAAAAATATAAATTAAAAAAACTTGCTAAAAAACAGCTATTCTTCATTTCGCTCTTAGATATAACTGTCTAAAATTAATTCTTTATTTTTTAATAAAATATTTTTTAATTAATTAAAATTTTTTTGTAGCCCTCATGTTTGTTATTTATAAGCTGTATATAGTCGATAAATGCAAAAAATATTTATAGAAAATAATTATATCTTTTCATTGTATGAGTGTCTTACAACGGTGAAAAAATTAATTTGACATATTTTTTATTTGATTCTACTATTATTAGAATATCTGGTCTCAAAGCAATTTTTTTTTACTAAAGCGTGATTTATTTGATATATAAAATCATCGATAGAAAAAAAATTTGAAATTTGATGCGGCGGTTAGCCATAATTTGTATTCGTCATTGGTGCCGTTTTCACATTTTTTTTTATTTCGCATGGTTTTATCCAATCCCTGCATAGTTACTTTACAAAGTGGTTTTATTTGAAACGGAACCGTAGCTTCAGATATTTGGAAATTTCAACAGTTTCGACTTCGAAGAAACAAAAATTGGGAGTGAATTCTCGATTTAATTTTGGTGAATAATTCGAGGATCTGATCTACAGAAAAATTGTCGGATATATCACTTTTTTTCTTTCAGAAGTGGTATTCGAAAGTGTGTCTCGAACGAAAATCGATGAACCAATTGATCTTGTTCAGTGAATTCTGATATACCATTCCTTGGAAGAGAACCAATAGTACCACGTTTGTTTAAGTATTTCTCTTGAGGATCCAAAAACGCAATAAAATCTCCGCTAATGAAATCCGGAACATCGGTAAAATGATAGCATGAATTAAAACCTAATCCATGTTTCCCAATCTTTTTATCGTCATCTTGTTTTCCACCAACGCAGATTTGCATAAGCGATTCAAAATCGGATTCCTTGAACCTTGCATTATTGAATATCAAGATAGCGGGGCCCTGCCATTCCTTCAATCCACTGCAA